ATCCACTCACCTCAGCCTCCCAAAGGCGCGGGATTACAGGCTGAGCCACCAAACTTGGCTTTATTTTTATTTATTTACTTTTTTTTTTGAGTCAGAGTTTCACCACCACCCATGCTGGAGTGCAGTGGCACGCTCATGGCCACTGCAGCCTCATCCTGCTAGGCTCAGGAGATCCTTCCACCTCAGCCTTCCAAGTAGCCGGAACCACAGGTTTGTTTTTGTTTTTTTTTTAATTGCAGGGACAAGGTCTGGTCAAATAATCCAGCCTGGTCTCAAATCCCTAGGCTCAGGTAATCCTTTTGCCTCCACCTCCCAAATCACACCTGGGATTATAGGCGTAAGCCACTGTGCCCGGCTATTTTACTTTATTTCATTTCGTTTCACTTTGTAGAGATGGGGTTTCTCTATGTTGCTCAGGCTGGTCTCAGACTCCTGAGTTCAAGCAATCCTCTGTCTCCGACTCCCAAAATGCTGGCATTATGTGAGCCACCGTGCCCAGCCTTAATTTGTTTTAATGAGGGAAGAGACCCACAAAAAGCAAAAGTGCCCAGGCTTCCTGAAAAACACACACAGCCCTGAGCCCTACAGTGTATGTTTTTGAGGCCCTTTTCAGAGACGTCAGTCTCATTTGTAAATAACAACGAAACTCCAATATACCCATCTCTGAGGACGGCCCCAGTCAGGGACAAACTCTTAGCACCCCCACCCGCAGCCCCATTGCTTCCTTCCTGTGGTCAAGGGATTTGTCCAGGAAGAATGTGAAAGAAAAACCTCCCCTTGGAGACTTCGAGACTTTGAAAGTGTTTGGCCAGCAAGTATTGATCTAATGATTTGATTCTGGGATTACTTGGCCTTGCTCAGATGCAGATTCCAAAAAAAAAAAAAAAAAGAAGCTGGGCTCAGTGGCTCAGCCTGTAATCCCGCGCCTTTGGGAGGCTGAGGTGAGTGGATTGCCTGAGCCCGCAGGTTCGAGACCCGCCTGGGCAGCGAGACCTCACCTCTACAATAAATCAAAAAATCAGCCGGGCGTGGTAGTGTGCGCCTGTAATTCCGGCTACTTGGAAGGCTGAGGCGGAAGGATCACCGGAGCCCAGCAGGTTGAGGCTGCGGTGGCCGGGAGCGGCCACTGCACTCCAGTCTGGGCGACAGAGTGAGACTCCAACTCAAAAAAAAAAAAAAGAACAAGCTTGGCACCAGACAGGCAAACAAACCAGTCTGACCCAGGCAGCCCGGCTTATAAATAACCACACAGGCCTGGCCCGGCCAAGGCTCCGCACTGAACGGCTTGTCCCCAGGAGGGACCCGGGTTCCTAGGCCCCTGATTCACCCCAGGGCAGCCACTGAGCTGTTGTTTGCTTCAGGGAGAGGAGGGAGCAGAGAAAGGAGCCTCAGATGACTTTCTCGGTTGCCTGTCATTCCCTTGCTCTGGCTGGACAGACGGAAAAGCTCCCTGGCATAGGAAAGGGCACGGGGCTAAAGTTACTTGCCTTGAACTGGTGTCCCTTTTTAGAGCCCTGCACCCTGGGACCAACCCCTGTTTATTTTATTTTATTTTATTTTATTTGTTTGAGTCAGAGTCTCACTCTGTTGCCCAGTCCGAAGTACAGTGGCACGATCACGGCTCACTGCAGTCTCAACCTCCCGGGCTCAGGCAATCCATCCTCCTGCCTCTGGAGTAGCTGGGACTATGGGCAGGTGCCACCGTGCCTGGCTAGTTTTTTTTTTTTTTTCTTTTTTCTCTCTTTGTAGAAATGAGGTCTCGAACTCCAGAGCTCAGGCAATCCTCCGGCCTGGGCCTCCCCAAGTGCCAGGTGTGACCCACTGTGCCTAGCCTGTTTATG